ACCTCGTCAAACCAAGCGACAGCACGTCACGTGTATCTTACGACGGGAAATGTGGTAAAAAAGAAAATTACTTACCAAAAAAAAGGGTGGGGGGAACGTATTCCGCATGACATGCTGAAGACGAAATATTTAAATTAAAAAACAAGTCCGTCGCAGGAGTCGCCATAAAAGTATTTTGATATGCAAAAATTGAACGTCCTCTCCCAGCTGTCGATGAATGGAAAAAAATGCTCGGCCGATAAAAGCAGTTGGTGTTCTCGAATCCGGTGGAAGTGGGGTATTTTGGCTACCACGTTCGTCGGAGAGTGAGTTATTTTTCTGACTGGTTACGTGCATTGGGATTTGTGAGATAGTACCTGCGAATCGAGTTTTCGGCATTTCTTTCTGCCCCCGATGTTCGAATCTGAACTTATTTATTCTCTGCGTTGTGGAAGTAATCTGCGACAAATACTTCCTTTGCAATCCCAGATCGCTTACAATAATGTTATTGTAGTTTTTAACTGTGTATATTAATATTATTGCATTTAAGAGAGAGAGAGAGAGAGAGAGCTATCGTAGCTATTCTTCGTAAGTGTGTCATGCTGTAATTTTTAAGTACTGTATATACAGTATACACACATTATACTCTCTCTCATCCTCTCTCTCTCTCTCTCTCTCTCTCTCTCTCTATATATATATATATATATATATATATATATATATATATATATATATATTGTTTATTATACTGAACAACATACATATTTCAGCTACAAAATGCATTAATGTTTCGATGCAACATAGCATCTCATCAGGCGGTGGAAAATAGCATTTTTTTTAAATTTTTCATGTTGTAGAAAAATATACAATTTTTACATTATTCAAAAGAGAAATAAATTCTGCATAAAGCATACAGAATAAAATTAATTTATATTGTTTTATTAGAAACATATTCTGAAATGAATAAAAATTTAACCATCGGTCTTAAACTTAAATTTATGCCATATATACATATTTATAATAGTGATTATAGTGGTTTTATAACTCAAAAATAATCCTTTCCCATATAAGCACAATTGGCTTTAACGGAACACCCCTCCCTCTCCCTATTAGTCCGTTGATGAGAGGTTTGTGTGTACTTTTAAAATCGTGCTTGATAGTAACATATATCTCTACATCAGGCCGTTAATATCTCTCTAACTTTTTCTTTCTTCCTTCCTTCCTTTCTTACTGTCTTTCTTTCTTTCATCTCTTTCTTATATTCTTTCTTTCTTTCTTTCTTTCTTTCCAGAACTATCAGAGAAGTGATTATTTTTCTGCATTCATATTATTGCCTGATTTCGCTATTGAAAATTAATCAATGTCTTTCACGATTGTCACAGGCCATCCTATGCTGTACGGGAGACAAGTGAAATAGCCCTCAGGCCTGAGCTAGCGACGGTCTAAGGTGGAGACTGGGTGGCATGAACAGAGTTTTATGAATATAACTTTAAAAATTTATTGATCAAATATTGATTAAGGCAACATTGATTAAAATATTATTAAAAGCAAATTTGTATTCTCAAATAAAAAGAAATAATGAAACCAATTTTTTCACATTTCTTTCAAAAATAATATTCTTAATATTTCTTTAAAACTTTTACATAAAAAAGGACAATTATTGCTCAAAGCTTTTACAAAAATTTCGTCATTTAAAAAATTCAGATAATACTATTATTCTTTTAGTAAATGTAAACAATCAATGATTAAATCAGATAAAAAGGAATGGAGTAATAGGATTTAATTTGAATTCACTTTACTGATTGATTTCCGTAGACTAATTGATAAGTTGCTGGTAAATTTGAGAACTCTGTATTATTAATATTACTTCTCTTTCCACTGTAATCTTTTTCAAGGCTTCTTAATTGTTTATCCTCTTATCTTTATTGTTAATTTTACTCAAAGTTGTTTTCTGTTGCCATAACAGGATATGACAACACAACTATAAAATTTAAAGAAATTCAAATTATTACATTTTTATGATTTTTTACTCCTTATTTAATACACGGTGAATTTTTAAGCGAATTAAGAGTTGTAATAGAATAATAATGTTAAAAGAAAAACAAATCGAATTTTTTTAGCTTTTACCAATGTTGCCTTTCATGTCCTTGTGGTTTTTCTTCAATATTCTGATGAATACGTTGTTTAAAATGTAATAACACAGACGTATTTATGTATACACGTTTCTTGTACGTTTGCTTGTGCAATTTTAGTCCTTTAGTTATTTACACTTTCAGGTTAATCTGTGGAAATGGTAGAGGATTAGAAAAAAGATGTTTCGAAGTCGTGATCAGTTTTTTTTTTACTATAAATAAACAAATACATTCTTAAAAGATCTCATTTTCTTTTCTTTTTCTTTTAATAGGCACTGTCTTATTTCTCTGCACCCTTCTGCAGATAACCTTAATACACGAAATCCTTCCGCGTCAACATGAAACTGTTCCAATCATTGGTAAGTTTTATTGATCATGTGACACAAAAA